GGATATCTATATATATTTGGCTGTTTTATGTTTTCTTGCCAGTACACATTATATTGTTGTAATTTATTGACATTATTTCATCTATCTGTTAGTGATGTAGTGTACTAAAATGTTTTTTCTTATTTAAGTGAGTTTTATATATTATTTTCAATTTACTATGATGTTTGCTTTGCGCTTCTTTTATTTATTGTTATTTCTTTTATTTTTTCTTGTTAGACTTAATTTTTTCATACTGAAAAAGGTCCAAATTTGTGTGACCGAAACGTCTATTTATTGAATAAAGACAACTTTTTATACACGACCAACCTGTATTTTACTGCTCGTATCGGCCTTTTGATTTATTTGAATATTCTTTTTTTTTTAGTATCACAGAAATTTAGCAAATATTTTTAAACAACAAAAACTAAACAATTATGACTTAAGGCTCGTGAAATTACCAACAAGATATGTATAAGGCCTTACGAGCCATTCTCAAGATGTTTTGAGTAGAAACTTGTACGTGTATATATATACATACACATGTAACGAATTCAACCTGTAAATTTTTACAAGTGTGTGTTTTTTGAGTTGAAAACTCAATTCTTAAAATCATACGGGATGCCGGATTTGCATCTCACATATAACAGACCCCGAATACCCCCCTAACTAATTTTAAAATTTTGCGAAAAAAAACTCCTCGGCCAGGAGTCGAACCTGGAATCTCCGGCTTTCCGTGCCATCGTCTTCCCTGTTAGGCCACCGAGGCACTTGGAGTTAGTTTCGCAATGTACATATATCAAAGATGGTCTGATAATGTTGTTTAAACGCCATTCTTCAGCTAGCGTAATTTTAAACAATTATGACTTAAGACTCGTGAAATTACCAACAAGATATGTATAAGGCCTTACGAGCTATTCTCAAGATGTTTTGAGTATAAACTTGTACGTGTATATATATACATACACATGTAACAAATTCAACTTGTAAATTTTTACAAGTGAGTGTTTTTTGAGTTGAAAACTCAATTCTTAAAATCATACGGGATGCCGGATTTGCATCTCACATATGACAGACCCCGGATACTCCCCTAACTAATTTTAAAATTTTGCGAAAAAAAACTCCTCGGCCAGGAGTCGAACCTGGAATCTCGGGCTTTCCGTGCCATCGCCTTCCCTGTTAGGCCACCGAGGCACTTGGAGTTAGTTTCGCAATGTACATATATCAAATATGTGAGATGCAAATCCGGCATCCCGTATGATTTTAAGAATTGAGTTTTCAACTCAAAAAACACTCACTTGTAAAAATTTACAAGTTGAATTTGTTACATGTGTATGTATATATATACACGTACAAGTTTCTACTCAAAACATCTTGAGAATAGCTCGTAAAGCCTTATACATATCTTGTTGATAATTTCACGAGTCTTAAGTCATAATTGTTTAAATAAAATATTGTCAACAAAAAAAGTCTACGTCAGTTTAATCTGAGCATTGTTTGACTATTGGACATAATTTTAACTGGAATTCAGTACAAGTTTTAGATAAAGAAACAAATTTCTACAAGCGCACTACTTCAGAAATGCTACACATAAAAATAAAAGAAAACACTTTAAATATTATGACAGACACAGACTTACCAGATAAATCTTATTTACCGATTATCGATAAAAATCTTTGACTCTTAAATTTTATAAATTGACCTACTATGTTTACTTGACAACCGTTCAATATGTTTTGACTCTCAGTTTGTACTAAACATTCAAACATGACACACACATAATTTAATCTTTGTTAATTTAGAAGTGTATATAGGTGCGTTTTTCTTTATGATATTTTTCTTTATTCTGTTTATTTGTGCGCAATAATGTGTCATCAAAAGTAATCAACAAATATGTATAATCAAATAATTGTATTACAGTCTTGCAACTGAAGATGACTAAAGAAATAGTCGAAACGTTTTGCTTCAACATTGTTTTTTACTGCACAACATCCTGCAACATTGGTTCATACTAGCCCAGTTAATACACACATATAATGTTAACATCCAGAAAATTTTAAAAGTTATTATTTTGTATTTCTAAAGTAAATTGTAATCTTGAATGAGATAACTGTAAAAAAAATTAAATACTTTATTAAATAAGTCACCAGAAGCTGTCATAATGTAGTCAACATATCCAAAATAAAAAGTAAAATTTGAATGGAAATTTTTTTATGACTGATTTTTCTAGATCCTGGATGACAATGTCTGAAACAATAAGAGATAATGGAGACCGCATAGGTATTCCATATATTTGTTTATATATCTTGCTGTTGAACATAAAAATCATAAACGACAAAGTAACTTCTACAGCTTTAATAAACTCATTTATAATGGAATTTTGGTTTTTGATCTAAAGTGTTTCCATCTGGATTTTGGAGCCTTGAACTAATTTGATAGGTGAATAAGGTTAACTACATCGAGAACCAAAAGCACGTGATCTTGTTTAATTTTATATTATTTATTTTATTGACAAGTTGAAAACTATTGAGCATATGACTATCTGCTGTAGGGGTGCTCTTAAAAATGATAGATGCTATTAATCTGTAAAGATGGTTTTGTTTGATGTATTTTTTGGTACACTATAGGTTCTTGGGATTAATCCATTACTCGACTTGAGCAAAGTAACCGATGAATGTGAAAATGCAGATCATATTCATATTTTTTATTCTTTCTATTATGGTTTCTCTGGTAGTAAAACTTTGAAAGCTAGCTTTTTCATCCTTTTCTCTCCAAGCAAGCTTTCCATAAATTGTATCGACAGAATGACTCAAAGATATCTTTTTCAATTAAAAACATTTTTGATTGATAATATAAAAAAATATTTATAAAGTCATTCAAGATCACCGTAGTATATCCCCCTCAATGGCCATAATTTTGATAATAGATGTCTTTCTTTATTTCTATTCTCCAAAAAACCTGCTGACCTTTTTTCAGACTCACTTTGTATAAATATATGAGATGTGAAATAAGTAGAAGACATAAATGGTTGAAAACTTACAAGAAACTGGAAACCACCAAAGCAGATAACCGCGCTGGATAATAGCAATTGTCCAAGTAATATCACGGCAAATACTCGTTGCATGTTATGCACGTAATATATAAGCGTCAAATGTTGCTGCACATAGTTTTGTAATGTCTTGAATGTCAGTATCGTAACATCCGTTTCTGACAAATCCTTTTGGTTTATTACACTTTCGATGCTTTTCTCAACGACGACTTCTATTTTATGAGCTAAAAGTTTTAACTGCGCAGCTGCATGAATATTAAATGTGCTTACAAAATTGTCGAAGCAGCAAGTGCAAACACCTGAATGTATTGTTGAAAGTGACTGGGAAAAATTATCATAACTTGTAATATAACTAAAAACTAAACAAACATTAATATAAGTTTCTTCTTACCTGAATAATATAGGTGATTTCATAATATGGCGAATGATATGGAAATTCAAACCATAATTTGAATGGCAAAATCTTCTCCGTACCGTTTCTGTTTAGATTCTCTATTTATGAAAAATAAAGAGTTTAACTTTGCAATATGTCATGTACTTACTTTTAAAAATAGCATATACCACCACAAACAAAAACAAAAATAGTACCGAAGAAAGGTGCAAAAATATAATTGAACGTTGCAAAGTAAACGATGAATGTAAAAGTACAGATCATACTCATTCCTATTTTATCATATGTCTTCAAAATTTGAGTACCAACTTTATCGTATTTAATATTCCAAAATTTTTTTTCCGCAAATTGTATCAATTCCATTATCATGTCGTGATAATACATAAAACTACCTAGTTTTACTAATATCATTATTAGCAGCAATGTGGTACACAAGTTAGACGTGACAGCCTATTAGTAATAAAACTGTCAAAAACTAATTAAATAATTATATACTTTTGTCTTGTTTTTTTACCTATTAAAAAAAGAGTACAAAAAGTGCAGGTAGCCAAAATATACGTACATAAAAATCACCCATACAGTGATATAAATCGACACTCTCGACGAGAATAGCAAAGACAATTGCCAAAATAGCATAGCAAAATGCGAAACGCAAAAGTAAACGTTCCTTCGATTTTTCGACATACCAGAGACCAATCATTTTCATGAAAAGACGCGTAATACTTACTGATCGGTATTCTGTACTTTGCTTCATCTTTAGTGATTTTCTTTATGCTGTCGCGCGATCCTCAATTTATCTGAATGGCCGAACAATTTCAGTCTAAGTGGAAACCCATTATACTAACAAGCAAGAAAATTGACGCGCACTTATTTCGTGCTAGTAATAGACTATAATCATATGCGTCTCCTTTGCTGAGATGATCAATTGGTGGTACGTGTATTAGGTTCAATTTTCACTAAACAATATACTGGTTTTTTTCTTAGCCACTTTTCTCAGTAGTCTGACTGCAAGTTATCCAGTCGAGTGACATCGTAAATTGAATGTCAACTTGCATGTGAATAACGATAAAGAAATCTTACTTGCAGATAAAATCCAGTATTTAATTATATTAATTATATTATTATCATTCTTTATTAATTGTTAAACTTTAGTAATTAATTATAATTACCGCATATATATTCTATAATATATACGGCATCGTACCGTCATTCGGTATGTAGTATATAACATATATTTATTTATAGTTACATAGTTTATTATTATGTTTTTAACGAGTTTATGTATATAAAATATACAGAGTAAGTCTGATAAAATGGTTAGCTAACGTTTTCTTCAAAAACAATTAGAAATAGAAGAAGACATCCATGATTAAAATTGTAGGACATTAGGGAGACATACTATAGTGATCTTGAAAGACTTAATTTTTTTAATTAAAAAACTTAATGAAGCCTATAAGCCAATAAGCTGGTGATCCATGACTGATGGTGGTTATTATTAAATCAAACAGAGAAGTTAAATAATTTTTGAACGTTTTGATTGCTATATTTTGGATCATCTTCAGCAAATTACAAAATTTTAAAAAGCACAGAATTTACAAAATAAGATACATAATTTTGGAAAAACCTATCTGTTAAAATAAAAAGTACAAAAACTAAGTACGCATCTACATTTGACTAGTAGCCATACCTTATGGCTCATAGCCACAACCGTCAAGTAAGCAGGCAAACATAGAGAGCAATGACCAATACTTGATATGAATAAACAAAAACAAGATAGTGTTTATGCATTGAAATGGTCTGTAATAAATAGATAAAAGGTAGTTATATGATTCAAAATAATTTAATAAAGTTAAAGTTAATCTAATTGATAAATTAATACAGAATTTTTAGGCTCTTGAAGTTTACCAAACTATAAATATATTGTATATACGGTCATGAGAGTCGTTTGCTGGATGTTGTGCGGAAATATGCGTGTATATACAGGGTGTCCCAGAATTGGTTTAACATCTCTCGTAGACAGGTAGAAGGAATAAAACTGAGGTGAAAAGTCCTATACCATTTTGCTAGATTCGCAATAGTTACCGAGATTTTAATTAACAAAGATCCGCGAATAAGCG